AACCTACAAGTCATGCGTGAAGGTATATTGCATAATATTGCTACATTGATGATGAGATTCCACTGGGGTTTTAGAGTCACTTGCAAATGATTAACCGGATTCAATTAGGCAAATTCATGCCAGTCCTTGACTGCTTTTATGTTGTTGCAGAAACTGTGAGGAAAACCGAGGCCCTAAGTGACGTCTTGAAGATCCCTGGACCGCTTGATTGTCAAAACAGCAGAAAAAATGGACACAGTTTGGAACCTCGAGGCCCATTTTTCCCCACCTATGAAGTTAATTCAGTTTGATAAGTATAAACGCATCGCAGGTCACGCTGTCTAGTGGAATGTTTCGAAGTTTTATTGAGCAAAGGCACCTATTTTACATTAGAAAATTCGTATGGCAACAAACTGAAATGTGAAAAATAGCATCAATATTCAAATAATGAGAATCCAGTCTTCATTTACTCACAAATGGATTGACTGTAATTTCTTGAGAATAATACACACTCAAATATTAAATTAATCCAGATTTAAAACTAAAATTGGATATAATCCAATTCAAAAATCCGTAATTGGGTTCGAACAAGACATTTTCAAGAATTGATGCTATCCATGAGCCAAAATCAATTCAGATTACCTTTGAACACCTGGGCCCCAATGATCTAAGATGACACTCTTGTCAGTCGGGAACCACTGGTCAATATATAGAAGCACAACTCCCAAATTTGTGTTCGCTCAAAACGTAACTCGCTACTCATTTGATTACCTTGGTTCAGATACACTTGGCCATTGGCTGGCAACCAGTTCAGGGTCTACCTCACCAAGAAATTAATCCAGATGTAAAACTAAAGTTCCTATGCATGAGCCAAAATCAGTTCAGATGACCTTTGAACAACTGGGCCCCAATGATCTAAGATGACACTCTTGTCAGTCGGGAACCACTGGTCAATACATATATAGAAGCACAACTCCCAAATTTGTGTTCGATCGAAACGTGACTTGCTACTCATTTAATTACCTTGGCTCAGATACACTCGGCGATTGGCTGGCAACCAGTTCAGGGTCTACCTCACCAACTGCCCGACAACAGCTGGGCTAGGCTCCAGCACACCCGCGACCCTCGTGAGGAAAAGCGGATTAGAAAATGGATGGATGGATGGGTTCACATATACTTTGGAGCCAGTCTAGTTATTGGGGCATTGTGGAGCTATAAACAAGTCAAATGTTAACTGCAATAAAGACTTCGAGGTAAACCAGCAACCAGGAGAGAGTGGTGTTTTGGTGTGTGTTGGTGCTAGGATTAATGAGTAACTAAAATGCACAACCGCAGGCAAAATGTTGTTTTTGATGTTTTCCCTTCTTTGTCATTTCCCCCTTAGATTTCTTCACCTCATTGGCCTGACCTCCCTGCAGGTAAATAGAATCGAGCATGAGGGATCCACAGCCAGCAGGACTGCTATTTGAAAAGGGTTTCATCATGTTAATATTACTCCACTGCAGAGTCAACAATCAGTGTGTGCCAGGGAATATAGGAAGCTTTTAACCCCAGTGCCATCAAAATGATTCACAAGCAATATTAGTTTTGTCGGTGACCTCAACTCGGTAATAGAGTGCACAGATCCACAAAGTGAAACGTTCTACTGCTGCTGCACTTTGGAAGTTTGCCTCCCTTTCATTGTTGACATAGCGGAATCCATACCAGAACAACTTGAATGGAATGACATGCATGCCTGCAACCAACATGTCCTTTGCTCTTATTTGACAGAAGAACAATCCAGCAAGGACAGCGTTCTCTCCCACCTCTTTAAGAAAGACTTTGGTAGTTTCCGTTCATCTGTGAAACGGGAGCACGTTAGCACACAGTTTACCGGGAAAAAGAGTCTCCTGCACTACACGGTGGCCAGCGGGGATGTAAAGAGCGTGGAGCACGTCCTGAGTCTGGGCGCTGAAGTCGACTGCGTCATGGCAAAAGGGTACACGCCGTTGATTGTGGCTGTCCTCAACAGGTCTGTAGTGAGACGCGTTAATACATACTGTAACATTTGGAATTCGTTAAAGAATTAAAAAAAAAAAAAAAAAACTGTTCGGAAAAGGTCAGCAGTCAAGTTTGGGAGTAAATCACAGAATTCTGAAAATACGACCTCGCCTTTAACCTTTTAAAGAAGGCATGCTTGTTCTGCGCGGCATGTTGCATTCTCACAGGTGCAGCTGTCTCCCAATGTTATTCGATGCAATGCAGGAATACCAACGTGAATGGATGCCAAGTCTGAAAAATACGTTAATGCATACGGTAACATCTGGGATTCGTTAAAGAATTAAAAAAAAAAAAAACTCTTTGGAAAAGGTCAGCAGTCAAGTTTGGGAGTAAATCACAGAATTCTGAAAATACGACCTCGCTTTTAACCTTTTAAAGAAGGCATGCTTGTTCTGCGTGGCATGTTGCATTCTCACAGGTGCAGCTGTCTCCCGATGTTATTCGATGCAATGCAAGAATACCAACGTGAATGGATGCCAAGTCTGAAAAATAATTACAGTAAATTTGTTTTCCCTGTCATCTCACTATATGTCTAATGGTTAGATGGGCGTGGTGGCGCTTCATCAACTATACACTATGCAGTAGGACTTGTGGTTGCAGGGGATTTTTTTTGCTGTTGTTAAGTAATTGAGGTTGCTTAGACAGATTACCTTGAAGTGTCTGTTTACAGATGGCATGAGGTGTGCAGCTAGGTAGGACCAAACCGACACGTACACAATCATTTCACACTCACATTCACACCTTAGACTATTTGAGTTGGAACAATTTTGG